GCAGAGGTCAAGTTGGTCTTCATGCTGCAAGAAACTTAGGAATAGATACACAAGGTCTTGGGAATGCTGCCACATTTCCATGGACTGAGCAGAGTCCAGTATGAGCTGAAATTGGAGCCTGCAGACAACAGTCTGGTTCAGCTTGAAGCCTTCTTCTCACTCCTGTCCCCTGGTAATTGACTTTTCCTTATGGGGAAAATCCCTTATTGACTGGTATATGGTTGCATTTGCAGTGCCAGTATCAGCATGGTCTTATCTGGTCACCACCACGGTGACCAGAGAGATGAGGATATGCAGAGAATGATGTCACTTCTCAGCTTTTGTCATTTGTTGAGGCAGGATCTCTTCTCCAAAACTTGCCTTCAAATCACCTTTCTGAGAAGCAAATAGTGGTGGCTGACGTGTCTAAGCTTATACTTAAATCTATTTGACTTTTTTAATTAAAGCTAGTGTGTTTTGAAATACTTTAGAGGTAGGTAAATGGAGTGAATTCACACTAAGAGATGCTCTGCTGTGTGTGAGCAAAATTCTGGAGAGAAGCATTAAGGGAATAATAGGCAAAAGTGGCTGTTCTTGACTGAAAATGCCTCTCCAGTGCAGGTCAGAATACTTGTGTATACTGTTCTGTAGTAGTCCCTGACTAATCTAAGTTTGATGTGTCCTAGTTCACTGTCTGGAAATGGAAAGGCATGCTGATTGGAGGCCTCTGAATTCTGTTCAGTGATCTGTTGAACTCTGCTGGTCAGATTTAGTTAAAGAGTATACTTTGTGCCAGCTACTGAGTTTAACTGAGGATCTGTGTAGGCTGCTCTTGGCCCCGTTGTGGTATTGTACAAACTTTCCATAACAAATATTCCCACGTCCTGAAGCAGCCAACGGAGCTGGCTGCTAATGCTTGAGGAAATACTACTGAAAACAGCACTAACCTGAGGGGATGTCTTGTCCTCTTCTTGCTTTATCTCTCTACTGTGGGGACCAGGAGGAAAGAGAGAGTAAGGACAAGGCTGCGGATCCTCATCAAGCAGGCATGTGCATGGTCAGGTACCTTCCTCTGAGCAATTGCACAATTCTTCTGAAATTCGCTGATAGGGAATGGTGATGTTCATGCTACTGCAGTAGAAGTGTCTCCGAGGATGAAAGCCCTAGGAATAGCATAACACCACAAACTGTGGGCACCAATTCAGCTGCATGTTCATCCTCAGAATATGCCAGAGCCGGCCTTGGATGTCAGCAGAAACAACTGGGTACATTTGGCTGTGGTGACAGCAAGTTGACCTGCTTAAAACTGGCACAACTGCTGATCAGGTCTAAATTTCTGAAAATTGCCTTGCCTTATTGTGTATTTCTGTGGAGTTAGCATGCTTTACTGCTATTTCTTACCTTGCTTTCTAGGTAGAAGCTAGCACTTGTGATTTGATCTCTTATTTTAGACGTATAATTTAAACAGCTCTTAAGATTTTCTTATTTTTACCCCCACCGACTTATTTCTACCCCCACCATGTTACCCTGTGCTCGTTTAAATGCTTTCAAATGTTTATTCTTCCTCGAGGAAGAATAAACCTGTGCCTTCTGCTCTGGCTGTGGTTAAATTCTTTCCTACCTGCTCAGTGCACATATAGTCCCTGAAAGGCAGTAAATAAAGTTGTCTGGCAGTAGCATGTGGTTTTGCTGACAGCTTGGTACGTTATGCAGCTGGGATTAAAACTAATCCTGTTGTGTGGTAACAACTCAAATACCTCAAGCAGTGCTGCCTTTGCTGGCTTTGGTCTCTGCAAGCAATTGGACTCCCACACGCAAGCGGAATATGTGAGACTTGAATGTTTGTGTGTGAGGTTGTTGCAGACACCAGTGATCCTGGATTTGCATTGAGATATTGCCAGTGATGAGTCCTGACAAGATCAAATCTGGGACATGGCATTGAACTCTGGACAGCAAGTCTGACTCAGAGGGACAAGTGTAGAGAAAACCAAGCTGGTGGTGTGGATCCTCCTGACAGAGAACGGACTAATGCAGTGCTTGCATCCTTCAGGGTGACATCTTAGGGATATATGTGTGTTTTGTCATAGTATGAGATAGCCATGGGAAGGGTTAAGCAAAGTGTTCCTTAAGCTGAAAGGATGACTTTTATGGTAGAAGTGGCACCTAGAACTGAAAGGTCCTGGTTTACTTTTCACTAGAAGCCTTTGTTTTGGAAAACTTCTCAAATTGACACATGACTTCTCCAAGTAAGAGGTATGTTGCAGAAGCCAAGAAGATCCTTTGGACCTGTTCCTCTCTTTTGCCAGGAATGTGAAGCTTTGGCCAGTTAGTAGAGATGGATTCTTCTCCCTTGACCTCTAGGGAGCAAATCATTTTCTGGTATAGTTATTTTGTTTGGAGGAAGCAGCCTTGTAGGCACTCACTTGAATTTATCAAATTGAAATGCTTGATAAGATCAATTCTTTCTTTTTCATGAAGCTAGGTACTTCTAGGTAGCATTTGGTCCACTTAAGATTTAGAGGTCTGTCTAAGAGTGCCTTGGGCCATCTCAAATCTTTTGGAAACCAGCTCTTAGATGAGGGACCGAGTTAGTTGAAATCAATTTGAGTTTTTACACTTTGCTTTCTAACCTCAGAAGGAGGAGATTTGACTGTACTGGCTTCTGACTTCTCCAGTGCCTGAACTAAAAAATGACTGCTAGCATGCTATAGGCACTAGTCAGTGGCAAGTTGATTTGTGAGCTGGATTTGAGTCACTGAGATGAACCAGTGGCCCTTGGATGACATCAAGTCCACCAAGGTAAAGGAGAGTGAGAAGGAAACAAGCCGTGGTCTGTTTATAGCTCAAGTCATCCTTGTGGCCCCTTGGGCAATGCTGCTGTTTCATATTCCTCAGTCTAGAGTTATTTTGGTACTAGGCAGCCTCCTGTCCTTGGGGGCACAAGATGCAGTAAAAAAATAACTGAAGAGAACCCTCTGATCTTCCTGCCAGAGGCTGGAAATAAAGCCCTGGTAAATTCTGTGTTCCAGAACAGATTCCTGTGCAGAATCGTATCTTCACATAGTCTGAAAACAAAGCTCAGAACATAAAAAGAAGGAAAAAGTTACAAAACACTGGCAACTTGGAGCTGCAATAGTTGGCAGTAGAGCAGGTGGACAGACTTGTCCCCTGCACAGGCCTGTGGGTCTCTTCCCACTTTCTTCCACTGTGGACATGCGAGAAGTGATTATGCCCTTTTAATTGTGGAGAGAGTCACAGCATTTTCTTTGTGATGCAGAAAGGAACAGGAGGAGAAATATGAATATTTGGGTAGTAAAGTGCATAGGCCTGTTCTTGTTAGTGTAGATGTATCATTTTGTTTAGACTGCCTAGAGGCCAGTGTGCAGAACTTCAGAGCTGTAGTCACTTGTGATAATGAATGAGTTCAAATTTGCTGCAGCTTCTTTTCAGGCGAGCTGATATTGTGGAGGGGAATATTTTCCAAGTGCTGTCAGGATCATGGAGGAGTTGAACTGACCTGCAAAGGGTGCTGTGGATATTGGTCCTGCTTCTCCACAGGGGACAAAGCAGAGCAGCTGACAACACAGTGAGGGAGAGGAAAAGAGTTCAAATGCAGGAAGGAAAGGAAGGATCTGTTTGTTTTCCTTTTCTGTCTGTACTTGGAGCTGTGACAGGCAGTGAGAACCTGGGGGTTCTCCAGGATTCTTCACTCTTTTTGAGTTTTGGGTGCAAAGCCCCAATATACTCCACTTGTGCTGCAGACAACAGGGCATTGGGGTAGGATTCTGTGATTGTGCTGTCAGGAACAGCAAAGCCCTCTGGTCTTTCTGACACCAGCCTTTTATAGCCAACCACCTAGTAACACTGACCACCCATTAAGCACTTGCTTGCCAAGTAGCAGCAATGCATGTTTTCTAAATTCTGTTATGTGCTCTGCTGGTTGTGGTTGATCAAATCTTGATGCACACAGCTGGATTCTGGGGCTGGAGTTTTGCACAGTGATTTAGACCAACTTTTGCAAACTGTTGCTCTCCTCTTTGCAATGCTTCAGCAAAGCTGTGCTGATAAAAGGGAGCCAGAGACCTCCCAGCCTGCTCAAATCTGTCAAAGGAGCCAAGCGTTGGCCTCCCAAAGTATTTCCTTACACAGATGCAGTCCCAAATTCTGGCCGGATTGCCCTGGAAGCAAGTGTTTCCTGGGGTTATCTGTATGTTCAAGTAGCAAGAGGAAATGTTAAGTCTTTCGTAAGCCAGATACTGTAACTCAGTTTTGCAGACCTGAGATATTCTGATGAGCCTGGGAAGATGATAACCAGCTGGTAGGAGCCTTACAGAAAGCTGAAGCAAGCATATGTAATAGATATGGTACCATTATCATTGTTAGCAATACAAATATGCTTTTAATTATTACTTCATAAGTACCCCATTGGAAGCATTCATATTTAATTATCATTGATTCTTTGAGTGGATTGCTCTAAAACCCGGGGCAGTAGAGCCCCTGTCTCTTGCTCAGACAATGAGTATCACATAACCAACTGTTCACTCCATCAGCAGAAAAAGATTAATTCTGTCTAGAATTGAAAGCATATGTTTTTCGAGTTGAGATTGGTGCCTGGAAGGTTTCAGACTGGTACAGGATCCTGGCTGGCCTCTCTCTGGAGGAGGATCAGTCCAACAGTGCTTTGCCTTGGAGATCACTATGGGGTTTGTTTTAATATAAAAAGATTTTACAGCCTAATGCTATGGCAAAAATAGGACATGGTGGTGCCTGAGAGGTCCTCTTGTCTTCTGTGAGGAAGTGGGTGCCAGGGTGAAGGACTCACCTTTGAAGGCTTTTGGAGAGAAATTAAATTTCTAGTCTCTGAAGTTGAAAGTGTGCTGGGTAGTCATGAGGAAACATGTATGAAAAGGTAATCTATAAAACTAGGCTGTTTCCTTTTTTCTTTGCCAGGTAAAACTCTAAGTTAGGCTAAAAGATGGCTAGTAACAATCCACTGAGATGACACAAATAGAAATGAAAGCTTCCTAGTAAAAGGACTGGGATATTGGAGGCAGGAGCTACAAAGGGAGGTGAGGGTGGAAATGATGGACTGCCAAATGCAAATGGTGCTTCTTTAGCATGCACGTGACAAGACTATCAAACACAAAGAATTTGAGGTCCTTAAGTGCAGCCTGAGCTGTGAGCCTCTCAATTTAGAGGAGCACACTGGTATGCCTTGTAGAACAGGCCTGTGTTCTACAAAAGTGTTCGAGGAAGGACAGGCATTGGGAATTCAGATGACACATTGCAAGCCCACCACATTTTTAGTGGTTTCTGCTTTTGATGGCTTTCAGAGGCAGGTTGGTGAAACAAAGAGCAGTGTTGGAGGTTGGGTACATCTTTCCTTTCTCTCTTTATTTCTTTTCATCAGTTTGTAAAGATACAAAATCTGTAACTAACAAGGGACAACTCTACTGAAGAAGCTTCACTAATACAAGTCAAACTTGCTCGATGTGGATGGAGAGCAAACAGTGGATAGCAGAAAGGGTTGCTGTAGTAGATAGTTCTTACTGGAAAGTTTTTAGATCTAAGTATGTTTTGGTCTTCAGCAGAGTAATGGTATCTCAGGGACCCCCCTAATTTTCCACCCCAGATGTGCTCCTATGGCTGTACATAGAGAATCTCCACTATTTCCACTCTTTCTACGCTGAGTCTTATTCTAAAAGTTCTAGACTGGGACTGTTTTTCCTGCCCCTCTGCTCAGCCTAGATATTAAGCATGAGGCATTTGCCCTGTATCAGGCTGAATGTCTTGTTTTCCAGGTGATCCACCACAAGCTGCTGCCTGGATTGGTCAGTGTATTCTCTATTTGCTGATAATGGTTTTTGAGAAGACTGTGATAAGTCTGGTCCTGCTTATCCCAGGTTGGACCAAGGTAAGCAACTTCATTCTGTCTTTCTAGCCATAGCTGCTGTGGCTTACTGCTTATCTTCCTTGCCCTATTGATGGTTCTTGTCATCACAAATCACCACTTTTAATCCTTGTGACTTGTAGACAATTATTTGATTGTTAGCAATTATTTAGGTTTGGTAGAATATGTGTGTTTATAATAGTTTGGCTTTTGGTACATTCTAGATAATTAGACAAATTAGTAAGAATTTCTCTCCATCCTTGAAAAGATGAAATGATTTGGGCTGGCAGCTGAGATCTCTTGGTCTGAGGCTTATCTACATATTTGCACTCTGCCTCCCCTGTTCTGGGAGTCACTGGGGGTCATTTTGGTGTTAAGTGCTCTTAAACTTGGTGCAGGCTGTAATTTGGCTGAGTTATTTGTTGCAATCTGGAAGCACTTAGGCACTGGGGTTTTCAGACACGCTAGATTGCAATGGTCAGACTTAGAAAAGGAACGTGACTATTTGCATGTAGTGGTATGTGAACATATTGTTCAGCAGCACACTGCAAGATCCAGAAATGCTGCTGGCTTCCCTTCAATGCACCTCGTGTGTGGCTGGTGTCTGTATTTTTCAGCTACGCTCCAAGAAGCCAAGGAAAATCCCACCAGTTGTCATCATGGATAATTAAACTGGAACACTAGCCATGCTTAGTTCTGTAGAAAATCAGATGTTTAACAGCTGAACTAGAGGATAACCCTGGTCACCTTTTGCACATATGGGCTAAAGAAAATGCTGCAGAGCCCTAACTAGGAGTTGACCAGTATATGAAGGCAGGCAGTTTGCTACAAAAAACTTACAGAAGAGTTGTTCAAGTAACGCTTGTAAATGCTGTTTCCTCTGCAGCTTCAGGAGATTCTCCTGGATTACATCCCAAACCCCCAGTTGGAGCTGGTGCTGGTGATGCTCGTTGTGCCTTTTGTAGTCAATGTAAGTGGTGCCTCTACAAGTGCTAGACCATGCTTGGAAATCAGCCCTTTCTAAGGGGAGATGTGTATGCACATGGGAAGAGGGATGAAATGGAGGTGAAGGGGTAACTTGAGGAACTTAAGGGCAAAAGTCTGTCCTGTTAATTCTGTGATCCATTAACAATGGATTCCTTGTTGAGTATTTTTTTTAAACGTTGTTCAGCTGAGGAAGGAAAAGCAATTCTGCCTTTTTTGTGGTACTTGCCAAGCAAAAAGTCCCTAAGAACAGAGTCTGTGTCCTAAATACAACCTGGTTGAACTCCAGCCTTATTAAATAATAGATAATAATGACCAAAAACTTGTAAGTGTTCTCAGACCACACCGGGGCTGAAGTTCCACTGTACAGTAGTAACCTGGCTGTCCTGGGAACTTGTCACTTCAATAAAAGCCATGGCAGCACCATTCAAGAAAGTGTCTTTGCAATTGTAGTGCCACGTACCTAGTAGGGTTGCATCAGATTGTTTTACAATAACAACCATACAGAACAGGGCCAATGTGAGTACAAAGCCCTGCTAAAATAGGGGACTTGAACCGATTGAAAGGTGATAGGTGATTGTCAGGGTCAGACCTTCTATTGGATGTGGTCTCTGACCAGTTGAATAGCTAGAAGCTGCAATTTTACCTTAAGAACTTGGAAAAACGTCTTAGCACTTGAATAGATATATTGAAACTCTTACAATAGGTGCAGTCAAAGCAGGTGAAGAGTAGAAGCCCAAGCTTAGAGATGAGTAGACAGTACTACTGCTCACATCTGATCATCCTGTATAAGCTTTTTAGCTAGACTAAGTATGATACTACAGAAAGTTGTTCAGGTTGCCCGATCTGACTCTCTTCTCAAAACTTGTTTGAAGCCTCTTGAAAGCTCAGCCTTTTTCTGCTTTCTCTGATTGAGTAATCCTTCACCTACAGCTCAGTTGCTGCTAAGATGAAAAATGAGTACAAGGTATTAACGAGGATATTCACTGAGGACAAGGAGTGAATTCACACTTTTTTTGCTACTCTGATTGTAGTTTTTTTCCTATGGCGCACTGGCAGAATTTTGACTTTTTTTTTTGCCTGTGCTACAGGGAATGACTAACTTCTTCCCCTCACACACTCTACCTCTTTATTTGAAAGCAAACTCAATGACCTGAGCCATGACTGGTGCAGGTAGAATGTGTGAACCATGGGTGGGAGGCTGGTTCAAGATGTCTGCAGGCCATGTTTTTTTTTTTTTTCCTGGCAAAAAGCTTGACCTACTCATAGTCTCTTGCACTGAGTTTCGAGCAAATATAGAATTTATATTCTTTCCATTGGAAAGAAGCTGAGGAATTTGCCCAGTCCAACTCTCATGTACACACCTGACACAGGTTGCTCAAGCTTGGAGACTTGGAAAAGAAATAACTGAAGTATATTGTATACTGCATTGTATTTTGGTCTTTGCAGTCTACTCATGTAAATTCTTTCCCCTCCCCTTTCTCCCTCCCAAGGCCATAATGTTCTGGGTTGTGGACAGCTTGATCATGAGGAAATACAAGCAGAAGGATACCCTGGACATCAATGGATCCATAGAAACCCCACGAGCTAGAAGAACAGAGGAATCTCAGGTAAGGCCAAAGATGTTCTGCACATAAGGCCAGACTATGAGCCAGTGGTTTGGCTTTTATGCTTTGCCTATATACGCACGTACCAAAGCCATTCAATGTAGCATCATGATAGGATCATTCTGAGCAATGCTTCAAAAATAAGTGGTGATCCTGTTGGGACAGAATTTTCCATGTTTGCAACTGAGGTCAACACAGGAGTATTTACTGGAGAAATCTGACTCTCTAACAAGGGGCAGTATCACAACCTACATGGTGTTGCTAGAATATAGCTCTAAAAACTGGCTTTGTACAAACACAGGTGGGCTTATTTAAATGGCAGGCTGAAGCTGGTGGGTACTTCAGCACTGTCATACAAAGACTGTGCTTTCTTTATAGTGAGTGGTGGCATCCTCCTTCCTTGTTTTTGCTACAGATCGTCCAGATGGGAATCCTATTTTGTCACTGTTCTTAAACTTCTCATACTAACTGTAGTAATTGTATTTTGTGCAGCTTTAACTTGACACTTAAAGGCTAGGGGGAAAAATAACCCATTAGCAGAAGATTTTATTCTGACTGATAAGTGTGCACAGTTCATCAGGCAGATAGGGGCTACACTTCAGATTTGGGGTTAGAGTCACAGATGAAGGAGCTGAACTGAGTTTCCTTCCTTCCTGTGACTCCTAGGCTCAATTTCACAGCGCTCCATGTGCGACTTAAAATATCCTGCAGCTCGCTGGCAAGATCTGCTAAGATAAAACAGATTCTAGCAGTTGCACGCTGGCTTCTGAAGTAGCTTCTGCTGAGGAATTTAAGCTGAACAGGAATAGTTTTTGTGCTTTTTTTTGAGAACATGTCCTGTACTCTCATGATGCTGACTGCAAAGCCAGAACATATCTGTTAAACACAAGATGAGGGTTGCTGTTTGCTTATGCACAGAATAGTAGCTTTAGTTATGTATTTGGTCTGTGTAAGAACAACGGGTTAAATGGCTTAAAGGCACCATGGGGAAATGGCCACCACGGATGGGGATGTGGCATTAGAGGAATCCTTGTTGGAGTGGGGACAGGCAAATGTGAACAGCTGGTGAGACAAGTGAGTCACATCCTGGCCTGGCCTCCAAATAAACAGCTGTAGCTTGGCTACATCTGGAGACATCTGAACAGTGTGTCCCAGGCAGTTTCCTGAGCTGTGTGTGTGGCAGGGGCATCCTTGAGAAATATTCAATAATTGGGGGATGAAAGGAAGGTGGTGCCCAAGTGGAGGATGCCAGTGTGTATCTTGACAGTTGTGCATCTACATGAGCAACCTGGGGACTTGTATTTAGGATATGACAGCTTAATTCTGGGCATGGCCTCCTCCCTATTCATGTCCCCATCCTTAACTTTTCTTGCTGCTGACAGGTATTCAGGAGAGGTACTTCCTTGGGTTTGCTGGATTGGACACTTGCTCAAAATGTCATGGTGGTGGTCTGCTTTATTGACTGGATAGATATGTGTGTGCTCTCACAGATCTGAGATCTTCTTAACATTATACCAGCTCAGAAGTGAGTGTAAAGAGATTTCACTTCTGACTGAGGCTTCAGCTTCTTTCTGCTCTTAACCTAAGCTTGGGGCCCTCTAGTCTCATAAACGGTAATGTAAACATCCAGGCATCTGTTGTGGATACGAAGATTGTCTTGGTTACCAATATACTGGTAGAAAGAGATGATGATCTGCCTTGCTCCACTGAAAGTGAACTTTTCATGTCCTCTATGCAGGTTTTAGATAATCTGAGGGCAACTTGTTCTTGTGTAGTTGAGCAGAGGCAGGTTCTTTCAAGCAATGGAAATGGAACTCCCAGAGATCAGCTTTTACAGCCAAAAGCTTTTCCAGTCTTTCAGGTACTTGACTCCTTTCATTAGATAGATGAAGCCTTGCTAAGGCCTTCAACACGCAGATCATCTGTCCATCACTGGTCTGGAGCTATTTAGGGAACTGGAGCTGTCTGCTGGGACTGTCTCCTTCCTGATCTGACGTGGTTGGTGCTGGACTAAAGGTAGATTAACTGAGTCTGGGCCGGAGAAGGAAGTTAATGAAGGAAAAACAAAGTGCCTATTTCTGGGGTACATATTTTTTTTCCAACACTGCCCCTTCCTGTTGGGCCTTGAGGTAGCCATAGGCAACTTCATAAATTCATAAATGCTTCCTAAATTGCCATTTTAGGCTAGGAGCTAAAACAGTGTTGTCTGGCTGAGCCTCAGAGCTCGACTGACAGGAATCTAGGCTCAAAAAAGGGGAGGGAGTGGAATTTGTTGCCAGTAGTTTGTTTAAATGGGAGGATTTCTCCCCTTCTTCCCCCTGCTCTGCTAGAGGGGGAGGTGAGTGGCCGGGAAGCATCTGTGCATGGAGCTGGCTGGGGCTAATGTGTCCAGCAGTTTATCGGGTTCATCAGGACTGTCTAGCAGCAGGCGCCAACAGCTCCCCATCACACTGCCTACTTGAATTTCAACCCCTTGCCTATCTCGCCAATAAAGAGTGTCATTATTTTCACTTGCGGTAGCAGTTCGCCTTAGGATAAGGAGCAGGGAGGGGGGAGAGGAAGGAGGATAGGAAGTGAGTTCCTGCAGTTAACCTGTTGAAGACCTGCCCTTGGATCCTGCTACTGGAATGGCTCACTAATTTCACAGCTGCAATGCAGGATTGCCCCTTTCTCACGGGTTTGAGGGCTCTTCTGTTGGGCCACAGATGCTAAACTGGGCTCTTGTTTATAACGGATGATGAATTTTTCAGATTTTTTTTTTAATACTGAAATCCCAAGGGGGTGGGAGAATTCACCCTTGTTGCTGGAGGAATTTCACCCTTCCTTCCAGGCGAGTATTAACTTTTTCCTTTTGCAAACTTGTGCTGTGACTTTTAGTAAATCGTGCTGCCTTTTTTGCCCTCCTGTGGGATAGGAAGAGATCACTCGAGTGCCAATTCAGGTGCAGTGCTGGTCAGCCTGGAAGAAAGGGCTGATCTGTGTGGCCCTTAGTTTCAGATCGAGGCCAGGATGTTGCTAGAGTCTCTTCTCCCTTACTCTTGCAAGTGCTCACAAACTTTGGATCTTATCAATGGTTTCTTTGTTTTCTCCACTCAGAAAACAAGTCAGATTTTCTTTAATGTTTTATTGAACTCTTTGAACTGGTTTTATTTTATTTTACTTTTTACAGAGAGGGGGTTGAGTTGCTACTGCTTTCCCCCACTTCTTTTTAAGATTGACTGTTTCATAGACTGGCATTATGGCAAAACTTTGTTTGGAAGCTGTACTTGGAAGAATCATTAGGATGAAAACAGAGGCCAATTTGGGGTTGTAGAAAAGCTACATAGGGACTTGCCCTTAGTCAGTGTTCAGTGCCTATCTTAATTCCTTGCATAGGAACTGTGTTGACTTGGCAGATCACTGGACTGAAGATACTGCAGAATGTCAATACCCCTGCTGCTTGCTTTAATTATCAAGGGATATTCTAAGAGCAAGTTTGATTAATTTGTGAATTAGCTGAGTTCATTTTAAATGAGTAAAGCTTAGGGATCAGGCACTTCAGTGCACCCTAGGTAGAAGCTAAGGAGATTGCAGAGGCTCTTGTGAAAGGTCACTGTCCCACTGACTGCCTTGGGAACATGTCTAAGCCAAGGAGCAGGATGTGGTGGAAGGGTTCTGCCTGTGCTCCGGGCAGGTGATGTTGGAAAAAAGTTTTCTGCAGCTGGAGATGGAATTTGCCTCTGAGCTTCTTTCTTCTGCCTATGCTGTAGTTTTCCATTCAGTCTTGCTCTGCCACAGAGATGTCTTGACTACTTGATAAGTCTGGGGAAGGAGCAGCAAACAAGTTTGCAGCCCATTCCTCTAGTGTGGAGGGGAGTGTGCGTGGGTAGCCTTGTTTCTGTAGTGTGACCCTGATCTGTTTTGCAAGCTGCTGGCCTCGTGGTGTGGAGGGGAATGCATGAAGGATTTCATGACTGCTGAGTGAGACAGTAGTGCCTTGTTCTTTGACTGGGAAACCATGGTCCATTCCCAGCTGCACCTCTGACCTGGATACATCCGCAAGGGAAGCCTCTTGTGCAAGTTGTACTGACAATACTCAAGATGGCCTTTTGCTTAAAAAAAAAAAAGTCACTTGACACGGTGGGCCCTGGTCATTTGCTTGTGCCACTGTCACAGCAAAGCTGAGCTGGTGACTGGCAGCTGGCTGGCCACTGGACCAGCCCATCTGTAGGTGCAAGCATCCCCCAAGGAAAGACCACCTTACAAGTCCTCGTTGCTTCTAAACTTGCCTGTGTTTCTGAGGGTATGTCCTGTGGCTGTTGTAATGAGGTGCCTTCTCATGGTGAAGTTCCCCATGGAAGTGTGGAAAGGTCCCTGGAGGACACTGAGGTGCTGAAGGCACCATGGAGGTGCTCCAGTGATCTTATGAGAGTTGCAAGGCAGGCAGGCACCAGCCTGGAGCTACAAAGTTCTGAGCCTGCTCAGCCAGCTCTGTGTGGCCGTAAGAGGATTTGACTCTGAGGCTGAAGCCTGCCTTAACTTCCAGATCCCTTGACCCTAAAGCTACCCTCTTCCAGCCTCCTGGCTTGATGGTCTATAGTGTTATGTGTAATTACCTGCCTGTTTCCTCAAGTTCAATACGGTATTTGTGATGGTAGAGGAACAGCCTTCCAGTGTGTATTTAATTTAAATTATTTTTAATTTAAATTCCTTAAGACCAATAGAGGAAAAAAGCTTTAATCTGAACTACTGCTCTTTGAATATGTACTGCTGTGAACATGATCAAATCGGACAGGCTGCAGTGTGTGCAAGGGTGTGGAGGAAAACTTCCCCTATGGCTCTTTTTTGAAGCTATTGATTCATTGCTGTTTGTTTTTCCCTATTTAGTTTTTTGTTGCTGTGGTTACTAGCCCTGTAGTGCTGCCTAAATGGTAACGAATGAAAGATGTGTTTCTTCATAGCAGTGTCCTGAGATAGCTACTGATAAGACTAATTCCCCATGCCCCAGACTTTTGCCCTGGAGAGCACTGGGCTTTGGGACTCGCTAAGCAACATGTGTTAGAGCTCTGGGTGGAAATGGAAATGTGTTCCCTGGCCTTGCACCCCCTGGCCATAGTGTGGCAGTACCATGGCTTGGGCAGAGGGGTGCTCCATGGGCAGCCCATCAGTGTGAACTAGGAGGCCATTCAGCTTCTGAAGTCCAGCAGGGTCATATGGGGCTGGTGAAGATCTCTGCAGCCTCCCTGGAGCAAACTGTATCCGTATGGGGATTTTTGTGGGGCATCCTGTCTGCATCGTGCAAATGCTCTGTGCTGGTGGTGGCAACTTAGCTCCAAACAGTCTGTTAATAGCTGCAAGTCTGAAGTTAGCCACTGAGAGTGTAGGTGTTCCTAGAGGCAACGGGGCAGCCTCTGAGCATGCAGAGGACTTTCTTTTCTGGAGAGAAAATGGTGAGAGGTGTCGGAGCTCTCCAACTTCCCAAATTTGGCTTGAGCCAGGAGCTGCTATGTTAGGTAGAAATAGGATAGTGTCAGTATAGTAAGCACCTCTGAGCTTGATGTCTCGTGTTAAAGCTAATCTTGCAGTTTTGCTTTGTCCTACCTGTGTGTTTTTTTATTTTTTATTTTTTTTCCTCCTTGAGAGAGCTGTGGAGGCAGCAAGCAGCTGGGGACTGAGGACAAGGTTTTGGTTTGAGTACAGCTTTTTGCAAAATATGCTGCTTATCTTTTGCACACCTTCTCGGAGGCTGCAGCCAGGTCTGAACATGCCTGTCTGGGCATGACTCTTGTCCCTCAGTGGACAGTCGTCTTCATCTTGCTCTGCTTTGAGGGGATTTAAGGCATGAGAGTGTGATACTACCAAGATCTACCTAGCTGTCACTGGAGAGCAGCTGAAGGGGAGGGACAAGCTGATCTCAAGACATCTTTCTCTGACAGGGAGGCCTGTATCTGGCAGCCAGCCCTGCTATCAGTGTCCAACCCCTTCAGTGAGCCACTGCTTAGGTATTTTCCTATTAGAAAAGCTGAGGGAGCAACAGCTAAGGAAGCATCAGCTGTGTCTGACAGGACTTTCTCAATCAGCATCTGTCTGTTCTCCTCTAGGTGTTGCTCTCACCAGATGGGGATTTTGATCACTCTGAAAGCGACCAGGATACTTCAGGACTCCACGGAACAAGTCAGAAGATGAGGCAGCCCAGCTATCAGGTGGTCATCTGACAGCACCAGGACAAGTGTGGAAGGCTGTAATCCTTGAGCTGGCCTCAAAAGGCAGGGTGGGGGATGCTGGTTGATCCCCATGGGGCAGTAGAGTTCCTCATGTGCCTCCTCTAGACCTGTCCTTCTGCAGTTGTCTCTTGGTGGCTGTGCATCTACAGGCTCAGCAGTTGGCAATATCTGCTTTACTGCTCTGGCCATAACTGAATATACGTAGGCACATTTTTGGATAGGGTGATTGCAAGAGGCTTCCTCTGGCTGGCCAGCTGGGTGTAACTTTGTTCAGGGCTTAGACTGAAATCAAAGGTTAAATATGCCTTTTTTATATATTAAAAAATCTATCCTGTACTAATTGAACTGTGACACTATTATATGCACAAATGGTCAAAAGTGGTTGGTTAATATATATTTGAAAGTTTTGAATTGGGAAGATTGACTTAGTGGGTCTGATGCTTTTTACTGTTTTATAAGGAATGTAATAAATGTTTGACCTAGAACTGCTTCGTGTTTGTAATGTCTTCACTGTGTTTTGCAAGAACTGACCTCTATAATGGGAGAGGAAGGGAATTTGCTTATGTCTCTCCAGGACAGTGCTTTGTAAGGCAAGCTGCCTTTCTGTAGAGGACCTCTCCTAGAAAAAGCCTAAGGAAGAGTGGAGCCAGTGCTCACTTTCTATAGACTGGTTATATCAGCCAGGGGTGTGGTGAAGAAGGAACTTCTGCTGATGCTTCTGTGTAGCATCAGTTCTTATCTCAGATGGCAGTTCTGGTCTGGAGTCTGAGATCTTAATCCCAGTTGCCCCCTTGTTTTGCTGGCGAAGTTGAGTCCTTCCCTCTTACTGCATTTAAAACAAATGTTAAGCTGATTCAAAATCTACATCTGAAGAGTCAACTGAAGCGCTGTTAACCAGCATTGAAACTCTGGGAATGGTTTTGCATGGGACTGACATAAGGGAAGACCTGTGGGATGTCTCGGATCCAGGCATCTTCCACTCTAGGAATGAGGCTTGGGGCTTTGGACTTGCTGTCTTGTTAACATACAAAGCAAGAATGCAAAACACTCTGCAACTCTCTGGGGAGAGAGCAGCTGCGCACAGCCCAGCCGTGCATTAGGCAGATGCAGTGGTAACGAGACAGGCCCTGCTCTAAGTCAGTTGGGCTGAGCCAGAATCCACTGAGCTGAAGGGAAAGACCCAGGTGAACTTGTAGACACATGCTTCTGTTTATTGCAAAACAGTCTTTGCCTTTTTTCTATGTGTCTTTTTCTTTCTTCAAGAAAATCTGCTTTAATTAGGAGTAGAAAGTAAAGGGTTTGGATTTTCCAACTTAGATGATTTTAGTCCTTTAAAAACTAACTTAGTGTTTTGCATTTTTTTTTCAATTTCTAAGTTTCAAGTACAAGTTTTAGATGCTAATCAAAGTTTTGCATGCCCCTTAGTGAACTAGACAAGCTTGGCTTACAGCTGTGCAGCCTTATATTTGGAAAAAAAACATTTTTATTCTTCCTTGCTAATAATAAAGGTTCAAAAATCATACTTGTTCCAAGAGTGCTTGCTGGCACAAATGGCACACAGCCCTGGATTTATATTGCATAGAAGGGATATGTTTCACAATGCAACTCCTGCTCCTCTGGCAGGGTTCTGGGCTGGTGAGGGCTGGAGTAACTCCTGTGCCGCCTGGGTCTTCAGTGAGAACTCTTAACTTTGTTTGTTTTTGAGGCTGGTGAGGATGCTCAGAATAGGCCATAGCGGGGGAAGAGGTTGCCCCACTCTACTTTCAGGAACCCTGAATTCAGGAGTCCTTCTCCCTTGTCTTAAATACTGACACGTATTGCTCTCCTAGCAGGGCTTTCTTTTTCCGATTGTCCTCCAAAGTGATTATTCAGTCCTCATTCCTGAACTATCTGAACATCTTGTAGTCTTTAACTGTACTGCTGCACAGTACTCTGAGATGCTTTGTGAGATGGGAGCAGATGTGTGTCTATATCCTTGCATGCGCACTTGTAGTATTTTCTGGAAGTTCTCTGCTGTCATGAAAGTGTTCATGGACCAGGACTGGAACACATTCTCCTTCTGATACAGGAATGTCGTTATCGTCTCTTAAAGACAGAAGAAACTGAAGCTTATGGTCTCAGACCTACCTTTCTCTTGCTATCCTCAGGGCAGCAGACCCTTGTCTGGTCCTGGTGTGTTTGATAGCAGGAACTGTCCTCTCTCTGGTTAAATTCCCAGTTGGGTGTGGGAATGCATCCCTAGAGCTCACTTGGCTAACACACTTACTTCCTACGAAGTGTGCAGAGGCTGAAGAACATCACCGAGAACTCCCAACTTACCACTGCCTTGAGACTGGTTCTTTCAGCTGTGTGGTAACACGAACTTGTCCAGCAGCATAAAACATATGTACCCTTAGCTCCAAAGATTGCTTCAATTTTGGCAAATGAAAGCTTCACTGCAGCATTCACTGTAAAATATTTATTGTGAAATGGATAACTGGAGCTTTTATGAGAACTTGAATATATTGCTCTAGGTGCTTTGCATGGTTGGGAAGTGGGATTTTTTTTTCCACCTGAATGAAATCTTTCCTCAGCTGGGGGAAGAGGAGCAATGATGCACCTGAAGCATTAGCAATATGTGTATCTTTATATACAAGAGAGATGAGAGGGGAGCCAACTGATCCTCTTAGCAATACATTTGAAGAGCAAAACATGGGAGGAGAGTGAAGGCTTCAAAGAAATTACTTGCAGTAAGGAGAGTGCAAAGGAAGACACCTCTTTTTTTTGTGAAGAAATTCCCTTCTGCAATCCTACTCAGCTTGTGCTAGTGGAACAGGAGCTGATTTCAGAATAAGCTGGGTGACTTTAACACCGTATTCTTGGGAGGAGGACCAGGACTTCACAAAAGCTCTTGTTTTCTTGTTCCTGGCTCCTGTGTGTGTCAATAAACCTCTCTTTGGCTATGGGGTATTCAGGCTTGCACTGACTGTCTTGCCTTCTGTTCTCCCTTGCAAGAGGGCTGTTTCCCAAGAAAGCTGGGCCTAAGGCAGTGCTTTGGCTTCATGTTTCATTCCAAAGCACAAGCCTTGGCATGAATTTTGTGCTGGCTGAGCTTTCTATAGGGACCTTCCAGAGCACAATTAAATCTAGTTGGTTGCTTTTGACTATTTCTGTCTCCCCACAAGGCATGAGGTGAATAAGCAACTGTGCTAGCTACCTGCTCTGGTAACTGCTCTTGGTGCAGTGCTAGTGCTATCTTGACGGCCAGGCAGGCAGAAAATACCCATGTTCCAGCAACTGGACCTCCTACAACAAGAATGTGATTTAATTTTTAAATTTGCAAAGAAATTGGTGATGAGGGAACCTATTTTTGTAGGTCTCTGGTGACTCCTTATTTCTCTGCTAACACATGGATATAATTTGGCTGCTGAAGATGCTTCTACCCCCACCCTCCTCCTCTCAGTCCTGGAAAGGCAGAGTATCCATGAGCTCAACTTGGCCTTTCCATGTAAATATCTTTGGGCTTGTTGAAATCCTTATTGGCCAAGTTCTCTCCTAAGCAAACTCTCCTGTGGCTGATGTATAGCATTATTCAGGGATGCTTCATTTTAAAATAGACCACAGTCTTGTCATTTGGGTTTGGAGGCTTCTTTGCACCACCTGCAGTGGGGGTGGTTGGCAGGTCTGTTTCTAAGGGCCTTGTTGCCAAATTCTTAGTGTACAAATTCCTGCAGTATAAGGAAAGAGAAGCAGCCAGGGAGACGGGGTTGGAAATTTTCTGAAGATTTGGAGTAAATAAAGACTTCCTCCCTTAGAAAAGCAGCTAGGAAAGTCTAGTCCGAATTCAAGTTGCTTTCTGTTTCATGAGATCATGAGCTCTCACAGGTTGTGATTCATCTTTAGAGAACTGAAAACTCTGCTAAGCAGAACTCAAGCTCAAGGAGGTGGCAGCTCACAGTGGAAGCTTATTTTTGTCTTAAGGATGAAAGAATCAGGCAAACCTGAAAGGTTGCCTAAGGGAGATGCTTCGTAAAATGAGAGCTGACAACACTCATGGTAGCACACAAGGTGCACAAGGCTCGTAGTCTGAGGCAGCAATGAACCCCATGATGGTCTGTGCCATTCATTAACAGGCCTGTAGTGTTTAGGGGAACACTGTGATACTGGCTAATGCAGGCCCCATCCTAATGGCCAAGGAAGCAGGACTCTCTTGAGTTTTACTGATTTAACTTCTCAATTTCTGTGTTACTTCTTTGATGCTAATGGGTCTCTGTGGATGAATATCCACCCATGTCTCCCCTCTCTTTTTCTCTCTGTCTTTTCCCCAGGAAGCATGGTTGAATCAGGTGCTCCAAGCCGTGGCTTTGCGACGTGTACCACTCAAGGTTGACTCTTTAGGTCAAGCTGTCTGATTTGTGCCACTGGGGATATTGCACAGACCACTGCATGGTTTGTTTTAGGGCCAGCAGCTTGCTGTAGTCAGATGTGAGTGCTGGCCCCTTTCTCCTTTCTCTCCTGTTGGGAGAGCACTGATCATGCCCTTAACAGTGTCCTTAACCCTCCCCACCCCCCTTCCCTTGTCTTCGAGAGCTTGATGACCCTTGTTCATCTAGGATGAAAAGAAGACAGCTGATTTTCCAAGGAGAAAAACCTCGGTTTCTTCAGCACTCAAAAAAAAAAAAAAAAAAAAAAAAAAAAGAAATCTTCAGAAGCTGCCTAACTCTAGAGGCTTCAGAAAGGGACTGTCACACACGCTGCTGCAATGTGATATTATGAAGGGTCTTAAAGGCTATTAAATCACCCCAAAGTTGGTTCCTGTGTCAAAAGGATGAGAAGCCAAATAGTCACTATAGCTCCCATCGATCAGTTTGTCCGCATTGTTTTTGGCAAACCAGCAGTCAACTTCTTGCTGGCCATTGTAGATCCTTCTCTGTTTCCACACAACAGGAACGAGACGTCCCTTGACTTTCAAGGTATTTGTAGGGTTTGACTTTACTGCTTCAGTTTTGTTCTGACCAGCCAGTGGATTACTCTTGTTTAGAGATTCCTGAAGAAGTTTAACTTCGTCTTTCAAGAACTGACCTGCAAAGTAAGATAAAATTAATTCCATGAATAGCTGTTTTGTGTTTGTTTGTAAGTGTTTGTTTTTTGTTTTTTTTTTTAAAGCAATCTGTGTTTTGAAGATTCTTAGAGTAGGTGGCTGTGAAGAGCTTCTCCACAATAGCAATCTGAGTCTAGGTCCCTCAATTCTCTCATAAATCTTGCCCAGAGATGGGGATTATAGTAAAACCCTGTTTTTTTCCACATGCCAAGATGCAGTGTTTGAGCTGAAAAGCTTTTTGGACTTCTAGTAAGAAGAAGCTCATGCTCCCCTCTCTGGACCCAGGTTACTAGAGAATAATATCCCATTAGTTCTGTTGGTGGCCACCACTGAAGAGAGGCCAGCACCATCCTCCTCACTGCCTCCCTTGAGGTACTTCTAGACACTGCTCAGGTCCCCTCTCAGCCTTCTCTTCTCCAGCTGAACAGGCCCAGCTCCCTCAGCCTCTCCTCATAGGGCAGATGTTCCAGGCCCCTGATCATCCTTGTAGCCCTGCGCTGGACTCTCTCCAGCAGTTCCACAAGAAAGAAGATTTAGGCTTGAAGCTCCAAGTTCCCTTCCATTGCCTTCTTGGATGCAAACCTTTCAAGGTCAAATCTATGTATTGATTTAGGTTTTTGTATGGATGAGGGCCCTTAATCCAAAACTGCACTCCTGAAGAGTCATCCTCTGATTAAACTTGGGTGTCTGAATGTCCTAGAAACTTCAGCCTCAGCCTTAGAGCTGTGTACCTGCACATGTCCCGAAGGCCCAAATTTTTGTAGGACTGAGCTGTTCACACATTAGCCTAATTAGGATCGATACATATCAGTCCTTCTTGCTGTTTGAAAGGGCCCAACCTTCTAGATGTTCTCTGACTCTACCTGAAGCTTAGTGTAGGGATGGCTCTTCTTTCATGTCACATCTTTGAAAAGAACGAGGAACAAGAACTATTAATTCTTGATCATGATCAGGATCACATGTGAACAGCTCAGTCCTGCAAAGAAGATAGTCCTCCTGGACTTGTGCAGGTGCAGAGCTCAAGCTCAACCAGCAATCTCCAACAGTGCAATAGCTCTGTGAGCTGAGCTCTCCTTTGGGCTCTGGGTGGGGTCTCTTGAAATACGTGTGTGCTCTCTTTCACTTTCTGTCTGTGTATTATTCAACCTGTATATGCTAATGACAGCAGCACTAAAGAATCAGAAAAAGTAGAAAAGTGAAAACAGGCACAGCCCTGTGGCCGGGATAGGGGGGAGATAGCTCCTATAGAGAAAGATGTTAAGAGAGTTGGAAATATGGGCATCAGAAAAGTTGCTTCTGAGTGCAAGCAAAAATATTACCTAGAAACTTAATCCCCAACTTCCTTGTTCATGATTTCCTGTTTCTATCCATTAAAACTCTTTAGAAGGATCATTTTTCCCCAGCTACCTCGATATGCTCTCTGGTATACTGCTCCGAACCTGAGAACCAGTTACATACCCAGTAGCCCGTGGGAGTCAGGAGAGAGGCCTTTACTGTTAGAGATGTAGAAGCCCAGATGATCCTTCTGATAGGGGGCTGGGTTCTTGTAGTGGTGGATGAGGATGATAAAACTGATTGTGTCTCGTATTGTCACGGTCACGTTGGAATTGGCAGAGATGGACACCTCAAGGCTGCTGCTCTTCACTGTGGCACTCCGGCCGCAGGACAGAACAAGTCTTTCTCCATCATCCAGAATGATTCTGGTGGGTGTGATCTCTAGGTAGGATCTTTCTGGCTTGTTGCTGAGGATAGTGATGGTGCTGAAGTAAGTCCGATGCTTCTTGTGGCCATTGGGTGGTGCAGGAGCTCCAATTAATTGCCCATTCACAGTCACACCTTGTAGAGAAAAATAATCAGCAAGTGAAAGCTGGAACTAAAGAATAAGCCTACTGTCTCAAAAATGCAAGCCCAGTATCTGGGATGCTGATTCACCACCTCATACTTAACTTTTTTCACCTCCCAGAGTTCCAAATAGCATAGCCAGTATGTTGCAAATTGGTTGCTTTATATAGAGCAATTAAATTTATACAAGTTCAGAAATAGTGACTTGCCCTGAACACAGCTGCTACTAGTATCCCTCATTGACTAAATTCTAAGACATCTAGCCTGGGAAACCACAGAATGAGTGTTACTATTTTGGTCAACATGTTAAAGACCAAACAGACTGACCCACAACTGTCTGGGATGAAGTGCTCCTCAGGTGCCACTGAGAGAAACTTGAGGTCTCTTTGTGCCATTTCAGAGGAGGACCCATAACCCTCTATTCCCACTGAGTTATTTCCAGCTTCCCCTGTGCTACCATTCCACTTGGCCTCAGTTTTACCCTAGAATCATTTTTGAGTAATCTGAGACACAGATCCCACTGGCTGAACTGAATCTTAGATGTCGATAGCAAAACCCCTAAGCATTTTGATGACTTTTGTGACTCCTTGTGCTTAAAACACTCTCTACTGGTCTCTGAATACCTACTAGATAGTAGCAATAAGGGAGGACACTTAGCCCAAGTCATTAACACTGAGATCTAATACTATCATCCTTGGGGGAACCTCTCATTCCTATCTTCATAGACTTCACCTGCCTAAGGAGTCTATTTTCCCCTAGCTCATTCTGTATTTGTGCCACAGAATCAAGTCAAGAATGCAAACACAATCTATGAAGAGAGTCTAAAGGAAACATTTCCAGGATCTGGAAGATCCTGCCTTCCACTAAGGCAAGCATGAACGCAGAAATATGAAGGCTAGATCAGCACCATACAGAATTCTTATGGTTGTTTTTTTCTGTGATTGTTTATCTCATTTGTAAGAACAAGTCTTTTCTCTGGTTTTGATATCCCTGCCTTCCACCGCTTTTCTGCTCAAGGCATAATCCTCTTATTAGCTGCCCTACTTAGAATTCCAGGTCGGATCAGGCCAGAATGTGGGCCCCTGGAGATCAAGCTACCCCAGAACCTGAACTGTGCAGATTTTCTCGTGGCTGTCATGATTTAATAGCAAGTTTGGTAGCTTCAGATACTTGAAGCTTGATTAGCTTGTTCAGATATTTCTCTCCTGAAGTGAACAGTAAGTAAATAGCAGAGAATAAAGCTCCAATAATACAGCAATCTCTGTGAGCCCTTGTTGTTACAACTTTGGCTTGTGAGTGTGATTTTACAACTAGAGAACTGCTAAAGCTTCTCCATTAATGTGCTGCCTTTGCAGCAGAAAGCAGAATGCTCTTCCTAACCTCTACGCAGGGAGCTGGCTGCATGGCTCTCCCAAACCCTGCCTACTGAGCAGCCAAATGTGGCTGTTTGTTCAGCTGTGCCACGACCAGCAGTGTGCACAAGGTCTCATCACCAGGAACAGAGTTCTCCAGTCTAGCTGGATAGAAAGGGGAGCAGCATGGTCCTCATGCACTCAAGGAGGTCCCTCAGCTGTTTAACATGTAATTGCAGCTCCCTCAATTCTGGTCAAAGAAGACCTGAATTAGAAATAGCTGGGATAACAGTAAGGCCAGTTCTCTCTGTGGTTAGCTCTAATCTGTTAACAACCACTTCTGTAGATGAAATGTGTATGTAAAGTGGCCAGGCTTCCTACTTGGCTATACTTGCTGTGAACATATCTCTAAGCTGTGACATTGTTGGAAGTGAGTGCAAGCAATGAGTTTACCTCACCTTCAACTATTGGGTGCCTCCATATTTCATTGCCTGTCCTGAAAGACACTTTTTTGCAGTCTCCTATATCTTCCTTGGCTATGGATCACCTTGGAGTTTATCATGACAGAGCTGACTGTACACTTCAGTTTTCTTCTACAAGCTTCTTTGTTTAGCTGCTTACCAGATTCCTTATGATCAGAGACCAGTCGGAGAATATCCCCTGGTTCTCCATCAATATTGAAGCAGACAGAGAACTTGCTAGAGGGAAAATCAATGACGAAGTGAGGGTCTCCATCAGCTGACATGGAAAGAGAACAAATATGAGAGAAATACACAAAACTCCATAATAGAGCAAAACTGTTTTTGAAAGCAATTTGGGCCTTTTATCTTTCTTTCTTTTTCTTTTGTTTTTTTCTCCCTAGGATCTCCTTATTTATTGTTCTTTAGAGAAGCTGGATGAGTTTGCCAGGAAAAGTTGTGGTTTGCTCTGGTTTTCACAGAATGTTTTATTTTGCTTTTCCCATGGAAAATGCATTTTCAATGAAAAATTAGCCCTCAAACTATTTCAGTTAAAAATCAGAATATTTTCTTCTTGAAATACCATTTGATTCATAGGAATAACCATGCAGGTATCTTATACTCCTCCATATTCTTCTGGAGGCCCCCACAGCATACAAAAGTTATCCTCAAATGAAGGACTGGTGCCCAGCTACACCTCCCACTTCTTCTTGGCCCTCAATATCTGACTGGACCAGTCACAGACAGATTTTAAACAATCCCTTTACCTTAATTTTTCAACAATCCTTGATCAAACCTATGCTATGCTCCGTCAGCAACATTTTTATATTTCAACAATATTTATAACTTTGTAAAAATCAAGCAATATTTGTCCAGGCCTAGCACGGAAAGAAAGCACTTCCTGCTGTTCTCTGCTCTACGGAAGGGTCAAAGAGGAGGATCTAATGTTGTGGTTAATCCACCTTTGTGTGTTTTCTCCTACTATTTCTCATTCCTGATTCTCTATGTATTTTGTTTTTGTTTTCACTTTTCTCCCTGCTCTACAGTCTAGTAAATACATTTGAGTTGATTTATTGCCATGTTTAAACCACAGTCACATGCAATTCCATAAATGGGGCTCTATAGTTTCCATAAATCGACTGTTATTATCTTGGATTGTAAAAGGCATTAGAATAGGCACTGACCTGAAGTTTTGGAGATTTTAATTCTTTGTTTGTCTTGCTGCCTGGGCATACCTAGAAGTGGGGAGGAAAAGCTGTTACAGATACTAAGCAACACAATGAGCCATAGAATAATAATGCTCCCAAAATATTATTCAGAGAGATTATGGGATATATTCCTACAGCCACTTCAGGCTTTATTTAGAACAAGAAAGTTCCTGTAATAGCAATTAAAGAGTACTATATGCTTCCTGAATGGGTTAGGTACCTAAAAAAGATGGTGCCTGAAAGGCCTTGCTCAAGGTCAACAGCCCCAAATCAGAATGAATATCCCAGTTTCCTGTTTCCCAGCCCTTGATTCCATGATCCCCATTGCCAAAGTCAGCCATGGGAGAGCAGGTATGTGAAAAGATTCTTACCATCACATTGTTTTAATTTTCCTCGTACCTGGTGGTGCCTTGTGTCCTTGCAAGCTCTGTAGCTTTTCACCAATGCCTTCAGTAGAAGGGCTGATATACTCCTCTTGAGGAGGTTCTGAATAGAGCCCAGCTTCTTTCATCTTCAGAAAGGTGAAGGGAGTAACAAAATTGTAAGTAAGGGCCATTGACTTGGCTTTCTCCATCAAATAGTCCTTCTCCTGACTGTCATCACTCTTCAGCCAGGAGTTAAGCAGCTCTTTGATGGTGAGGTAACTCCATGCTCTCTCAATGTAATTCTGATCACCTTTGCCGTCTTCTAGGCCAGGGACTCGATACCTACATCTGTTTTGAGGAGGATGTACTTCTTGGAGTTGCTAGCAGTCACCTCTACATGCAGGCTATCTGAGGTGCGGTTGATGAGTTTGCCAGCTATTATAATTTCAGAGCCGTTGAAGTAGTTGGGAAAGAAGTTCTGGGTGACCTGCTCAACACTGTCTTCTGGGTAATCAATTCGTATATCAGAGAGAAGAGGAGTCCCTATCTCATCGTAGAACCTAAAACAAACGCATATTTCTCACTGTTAGTCCAGATGTATACACACACTTATATTTATGAATAGCCAAGAATACAGTAGACAGTCTAGTGTGAATCCTAGATATTCAGCAGCAGTTACAGCTACCAGGTTTTAAATTTAACTACTGCATCCACTGCAATTGGGTCCTGAGAGATTGGGAATCTGCAACCTTGGAGATTTTCAAAACTTGACATGGTCTGAAAAAATAAAATACCTAAATTAGAAGTTAGCTCCTCTTTGAGCAAGAGACTGAATTGCATGATCTCCAGAGGTCCCTTCTGACCAAAATTATTCCGTGACTCATTTCAGTTTCAGTGTTTCTTAGGCATCTAAACAGTATGTTCAGGAACATACTCAGCATGCTCTGGCAGTCACCTAATTGGAACTATGATTCAAGAGTTTTCCAGGGAGATATCTGTGGCCACTTCGATTCGCTTAGGAGAACCTGTCCATTAAAAGTATATTTTTTGCTCCTCATGCTCACAGATAGGAATATAGTTATTCCAAAATGTAATTAGAAGAGATTCTGCAGGGTTTTATAATGGTATTATGCATAGTATTCTAATGACTAGAGTCATAAACTGTAGACTGAGATGCTAGGCACCACAAAACTGAAGAGTATATGAATCAAAACTTTAGTATTGCTGGAAAAAGCCATAGCCACTGCAGTTGAAGATGATCTGGTGTGAGATGGAGAGGCATATAGTTTTGTGGGGAAGAAAGAAAATCAAAAAGGTATCTCAATATATCCGTAAATGAGGACATTTCCAAGGACGAGAGAATCCTAGCCACTAAACACAGGAAAATTGGCAGAAGAGAACCAGTGCTCTCATATTTATAATTCTCTGTTATGATTCTCTGAAGCAATGGCTTCTTTTGAATCAGAGAGTTTAATCCATAGTGCTTGTTAGCATGACCTTTCAAGAATGCCTCATACTGGACAGGCATGAGAGCTTCTACAAGGGGTTAAGGCCTAAGTACAGTCTTGTATTTTCCCTGAAACAATGTATTTTTGACTGATCTTCACAAGCAGCTGCGAGAATGCCACGTTTCCCATTTAAATATTAGCATTCTCACTTGGCAAGTCATGTGGGTCTTGTTTGGTAAATAAACAAAGAACCAGCTTCTTTTTTAACTTCAAGCTGCATTTACTTTTCACATCTGCTCATAGAGATTTTCTGAAAGCTGGAGAGCTGCATTTTCTATTTCATCATCTCCCAAATGAAATCCAAAGTCTGAATTGGTTGTCTTTCTTTTAAAGTCTCTGAGCACTCAGCATCTTCAATGCAGAAACCTCAACACATTTCAAGCCATCAATAAATCTGAGAACATTCTGTGAAACAGATATTGGGGTGGAACAACTAGTAGAGTAAGGCATACAACTGGTCTTATAGTGCAATGCCAGGAAATATCTGGGTTAAAAAAAACACTGACCACAAGAATCATGAATGACATTGGCACCCGTGCAAATTTTCCCACCAAGCGGTGATTGGAATTGGCAAGCAATAAAACAATAAATCACTGTCCTTTTACATATTAATTTGGAACCAGACTCCAAGTGGGTTTACCATTGCTGAACTCTGTGGAGACTGAGCTGTCTGAACAAGCTCTTGCAGTGCTGGGTTACTGTGGCCCAATCAATCATTTTTTTCAGCACATCCTTCATTTGTCAGGAAAAGTCACTTGCTACCAAAATGCATATTCTTAGAAGCAAATTACACAGCTAATACGGCAGACATTTATAACATGTTGTTTAATAGCAAGAAACTCATGTTGTGGTGTAACGAACATAGAAAAAATAGCTCTGGTGGAAGGAACACGGACTCAATTCTCCAAATAAATTAGGCAATAGCCAGGCAAAATGAGGAGTCTCTGCTACATTACTCATTTGGTGAGTATGGGTCATCAGGAAGAGTGATGTAATGGAGCAACTGCATTGTCATCCCAAGAATGATCCTGATGTAACTTTCAAACTCAAATATTTGGGGCACAAAATCAACTTTTTCTCAAAAAACTAAGGAGTTCTTTCCTTCCCCAAACAGCTGCCTTCAACCCTAGACTCATTAAGCTGCTTAAGTTGTCAATTTAAAGTGAACAGTGCATCTTTTCTTTCCTCCATCCACTTGAGCATAGACAGCACTCATGTCTCCCGTATTTCCAGGTTTACAGTGATTAGAGTGATTAGAATAAAGTGAATGAAAACCTCATTTTGAGAGTCTGACAAGCTTTCAAACAGCTCAGAGTGTCTTCTAGGAAGAATGGGATTTTTGAGTAGGCATAATTCTTGAAAATATATATCCTTGAAAATATATATCACAATTCTTAGGTGTATCCTTCCTTTTTCAGCCTGAGTTGAACCTCAGAGAAACTCCCCTCCCTCTCCATGTCTCCTTGGAGGATTTCCCTTCCCAAAACCCATTTCCAGAGGACCTTATCCAGATATAACCACAGACAAAGCAGAACAAACCCTTTCAATTGGCTGGCTGCATCCTCATCCTCCTGGAAACGCCTTGTCATGCCACAGTTCTCCAGTGCCATCCTCTCCAGTAGCTTGTAGTCCACGTCATTGCCAATGCCGATGGTGAAGAGGCAGAATTTATCACGGATGGCTTCCTTGGTGTTGCTGAGGATTTTGGATGATTGCGTCTCCCCAACAGTGGGCCTCCCATCCGTGAGGAAGATGATCAGAGAGACGCTCCTAGCATCAATGTCGTTCTGAGCGATGTAATCGTTTAGCAGCTTTGCACCAGTCTGGAGAGCACCATTGATATTAGTCCCTGTAGAGGTAACAAAATGATTAGCTCATTTCCCTTTCTAGGGGTGGTGCAAATAGTTCCCCTAAGCTCCTTGCACTACCATGGCAGCACCTCTATTCACCAGGATGACCCTTTTCTTTGGATGAGGTTGCCCTAGCCCTTTAACTCAGTTCAGCTCTGTTATTCTATATGAGTTTGGGGAAGATGTTTATATTCATATAAATTGAATTATGAATCGCAGTTACCTGTGTGAAATTGTTGTATCCTTGAATGTCTTGATCAATAGTCAGCTATGGCAAGCAGAGCCATGGCACCTACCATGTTCTGCCTCAACCTAAAAAACAATTAGGCTTAATTACAGGACTTTCCCAGTGGATATCTGAACTGGGAAAACAAGTTCTGCCCAGTTTGTCCAAAAGATGCAGGATCTGGAGAGGGAAAATCTCTTTAAATGGGAAAACGAGTGGTTGGGTTTGCTTTTCAAACTGCAAGGCTAGCAGAGTTTAAGCATGGAAGAGAAAAGGCTTTGTTGGCTGAGAAAAGTTCTCCTACTTGACTAACAAAGAATGGAGCTGCCTGAGATGGAGGGAGATGAAGAAAAGAGAAAATAGATGAACAAATGGTTGGAACCTTTGAAAGATCAGTATATCTGGATTAAATACCACCTGCAGAGAAAAGGGGGTGAAATTATTTAATAATCAACACATTGGCCTCTTGCGTGTCCATAAAGGAAGATCTAGGGAGACTACTAACAAGGACGTGTCGGCAGGCCTGATTGTACATCAGGGTGTATTCCTACAATGTTAGTGTGCACAGCCCCTGTGACTGCAGCAAGACAAAGAACAAGAAAGAGCCTAAAACTTTTGAAAAGTCCCCAAAATCCAGGGCTTGAGTTTTTGAAAAATGGGACTGAACCAAAATCATGGATCTGAGTATCCTAATACACTCACAGTCCCTAGTCAGATCCAAATTTCAGAAAGAACTGTTTTCCAGAACCTGAAGAAAACCACTCCGTGTATCAACTAGTCTCCTTGCAAACCCAGACCCATCACAGAGATACCAAGCACTGAAGACTGCCTTTTCCACATGCACCAGTATTTTGCAACAATATTTTGTTCCTGCTTTCTCAGTGTGCATTTGGAATAGAAGGGTAAGGACAGCACATGCTTGTGAGTGTGATCTGTGAGCCAATGCCCATTCACATTCACAGGAAGATACCCAAGCAACATCTTTTTTGTAAAGAAAATGCACAGAATTAGCCACACTTAAAATTACTCCCAATCTGCACTGGAGAATCACTGCATGTCCCTGTTGAGCAATTAATCATTTCCTTTTGCTTTTGTTCTTTGTCAGGTTTCTTGCAGGGAAACTCAGCTGGTTCCTGCACGCTTCTCTTTTGGCACTTCTGCCATTAAAAAAGGTTTGTACTTCTACACTAGTCCCACCATTGGTAATTGTTTAGCTGGGCAGGTCCCCTGACCACTTCCTAAAGTCTTCCCCTTGCAATACAAACAGTACAGTCAACCATCCTGTTTGCTGCGTTTTTCCATCAGACTGTTTCCTCTGCTAGGAGTGGTCTCTCTGCTCAGGGGAAGCCATAGGGAAGCCTTGTCCAGCTTTTTGCCAGATGTCATCGCTTGCATGGAGAGGGATTGGCATAGGTCATTTTGCAGCTCTCTTTGCTTACCTGGTGAGTATTCAGGGTGAACATAACTGCTTCAATGTGCTTGATTATTTTGCTATATTTTTAAACTGTGCACGGTCTTATAAATCACCACTGAATCGCATTCAGAATCACGCCTGATTTCTGCCACTGTCCTGTGGTCTCTCCACTCCTCTCCCCACTCCCATCAATAAGACACAAGAAAAAGGGGCAAGAAATTCTTAAATGATGTTCTGGTTGCTCCACAGTGCTAGTTAGAAGGTGGAGGAATGAGTGTTAGGTGAGGAACGAGCCCTTCAAGAGGTCAACCACACAGCCCACACTGACAAGGTCTGCACTGGAATTTACAGCCCTGGCAGAGCCCCGAATCTGCTTTTAGTCAGAAACCACACAAATACTGGTCCTGTGTGTCTTCCTTTAGGACACAGTTTTCTTCCTGTGTCTTCAAGAAATGGCTTTCAGAACTTTCCCATTCAAAATTTCCCACAAGATGTGTGGGAGAATGGGCACAACTTCGCTTTAACAACTACATCGGCTTACATGACTTGGTTTGGGGTCATCTCCCTGCCATAAAAGCTAATGCAGGGGATCACCCAGCATAGAAATAAAGAAGGAGCCCTTCTCCCATGAACCAAGTCCCAATGATTTTCCATTGTTGCAAGCTACTACACTATGTTACACAGCTACACATTAGGTATAGTTAATTGGATTAAAAATATCAATCCCATTCATATTCCTGGATCGTACCTCCTGTAGGTGACATGTTATGAATGTACTTTTTGGCATCTCTGATATTATTTGGAGTAACTGGTACTAGCTGGTCCTGTTGCCAGACCTTTATTCGGTTGGAAAAACCAATGATATTGAAGTGATCTTCAGGCCTTAGGTCCTGGAGAATTGTGAAGAGAGCTTCTTTGGTCTAAAAAAAGAAGAGAAAAGAGACCAGAAAGTGCAACTGTCACCACTTGAGCAGGCAAGAATTATGTTCTTAAGATGTTTATTGATCATAAAGGTGTTTCTATGCTGACAGCTTGGCTAATGAAGACAGATGGGACATCCACTCCTGTCTCAAGACCTGATCACTGCTGTGCCAGGCACTGTGCAAATATGTAAGAACAATCTTTGCCAATAGGAAACTGCAAAGCTGGGAGAGACATGTCTGGATCTAAGTGAACTTCAAAATTATGAATGATATTTAAAATGAGAACTCCCTGTTCCTGTGAGAGTCATGCCCTGAAATGACAGATGCTCAATAATGCTGACAAATATCAAAAACCTCACAGAGTTTTTATAAAGCTCTCTACACTTGCAGTAAGCTGGAAGTGGCATATGGTTAAAAAGGTCACTTATAAGTTGCACTAGCTCTAAATACATCAAGGATGCACATGCCCTGTTCATAATTGGCATACTGACTTGTGTATAAGTAAGTACTGCAATTAATGGTTCAGACAATTAACAAATAAATATACTAATGTACTCAAATGAACAAAATATGAAAAGAAACCTTGAAGCATGATTGCCCGTTCAACCTGCTAATCAGTTTCATCTCAGACATATTGTTTATCCAGCAATATGCCAAAATTTTATTGCTCTACTGTTCATTATGTTAAGCAAATATAGGCAACCAGAGGGAGGAAAGCTGGTATTAAGCAGAGTTTATAGCTAGAGAGGTCAAGGTCCCAGGATGATGGCACAGACAGACCACAGAGAGCAAGCCAACAGGAAGAGTACAGATGTGTCCTGTTCTCCCCACTGAGACCAACTCTAACAGCCATGCAGCTGTGTTTGCACGGATTGAAGCTTCAGCTAAAAAGACCAACTGAGAGAAGATGCCCCAAAGCAACCCCTGTCTGTGCAAACATTCCCTGTGTTTGGATGCAAAACATGAGAGAAGCATGAGGCAATATCTGCAAGCAGAGGTGAGAGCAGAGAAGATATTGATGCTATAGAAGGAATAAGGCAGTGGACATACCCAAGAACCCTCTAACTTCTGCACTGGAGCTAATGCAACTGCAAGCAAATTACACCCCCAACAAAGGAATCCCACATGTTGCTTCAAGTCTGAAGTCCATGCAAAGTCAAAGATACTATTTCCCTTTGCTTCAAGGATTTTGGATTTGGGTCAACACAACTAAGGAGTCACTCTCTCCTATGTTTAAACTCTTCACTCTAGGGATCACACGATTCATACCTCCTTTTGATTAGGTCGAATTCTGCTCCACATCTCAAGATTGGTTCCGCAGATCTTTCAGAGACAAGACGACTAAAGCAGATGCTGGTGAAGGAGGTTTTAGAAAGAGGAGGGAAGAAACCTAACAACTCTGTGTCATGATGTGCACCAAACAAACCTACAAGATGATGAATACCTGACCAAACATGAAGGTTGCCTCCTCAGTCTAAGAGTCATTAAGGAGCTTGTAAGGAGCTTGCTAAGACAAATTAAATGGCAACTATTCAAAAAAAAAAAAAAAAAAGGAAGGGAAGTTTTTATGCTCTCCTATCCCCTCTCTTACAAAAGCCATTGTATGGTAACAATGCATGTAACAATGCATGAGATAATACATGAC